TTGGGTGAGTTCTGTTCTTTCTGCAAACGGCCTGTGTTTCTGTTGGCCTTCCTGTGAATGCGTTGCCTGGTCTCATCAAGAAGAAGTTTTGTTTGTTGGAAGAAGTTTTGCTTCTTCATAAGCAGAACAGAGAATATTTAATCAACGCTACAGAAAGTCAGAGCTGTAGTTTTTCAGCATACTTAAAATAAACGCAGGTAAAAACCCAAGATAAACAAGGTACAAATGCGGAGAAGGTCTGCTAGCTCCTGTGCTCTGATTTAAAGAGCAGTATTCCAACAAGAGCCTACAAACAATCCTTACTTGGGCCAGTGCTGTGATGTAGGGCTGCATCTGGCCTCCGCAAGCACCTGAAACCTGAAGCAGTGCATGGAGTAGCATCTAATTACGTTAGCAGTTACAAACGGTGTTAACACACTTATCTGCTTTATTCAGTTGTAAGCGTTTAATCGTTCCTGTTTAATTTCTAATTATCTCTTGGCTCTTTTTGTTATTTGTAGAATGTTTGCTGAAGAACATCCTGTGTGTTCTTGAGAGTGACTCTGAAGGAAGTGAATTCTCTGATATCTCTGCGTGTGAGGATGATGTCAGTCTGCCTATAAACGCTGACATAGAAGAATTGTGTGATGAACTCTCTCGTATGCCTGAGGATGCAGCTTTCCCTCAGCAGCCAGCTGCTTTGACATACGAGGTGGAGGACTGGGATAAAGAGTTGGAGGAGTCTGAATGTAGTCCTTATGGTAAGTACAGGTTTATTTGTGCTTTGTTTGAGTTTTGGTTAGGTGTGGAGGTAGATGCTCTGTAGAATGCATCTAAACGTTTCCGTGTTCTGTTTTTGGGATTTTTTTGTTTGTTTACCTCACAGGTTTGTAATGTACAATTTTTGTTGCCAGATGGAGGGCTTACAGGCAGCAGTGTGAAGTTTGTGTGTAACTCTTGCTTGAGCAATTCTTGAGAAGTGGAGTAGTTCACTTCTGCAGCAAAGCTCAATACGTACAGACAATCCTTCTCACTATTCCAAGGATTGTCTGTGAGCTTCACCTCAGAAATTAATACTCTACTATAATGCATCTATGTTAATCTGAAACAGAAGGGAGATTTGGAAAATGTTTCTTTTCTCCACGAATTCAGCTGTAGTGTCTCTCAAGAGTGTGCACTTTCTGAGTGATGCAAGCACTCGGTCTCTGCTCTAAATATGATTTGTTGTTACTTTTGCTGTAGAGGTTTTCTTTGTTATGTGGCAGAGTGTTTTTTTGTTTGTTTGCTTGCTTGCTTGTTTGGTTTAATTCCATGAGTGGCTGTTTTATTTTTGTACTCCAGTTCTGTAAGCTGATAACAGGAGGAGCTGCAGCCTTCTTGTGAGATTGTTCTGATTTTAAAGTGAAAATAGAGTAGTGGCTTTTTATACTGGGTAACCCAAGATAAAGTCTGGAAGGGCATACGCTGTCCTTCCAGTGTTTGCTGACTAGAAATATTTTGCTTCTGTGAAAGAAGCTAATCAACTTGGCATAAAAATAGGGTAAATTAACTGGTTTATTACACTTAATTCTAGACTAGTGGAGGTACTGTTCTGAGCTGGTTTTTACAGAACTCCACCCTTTGTCCTTATCCAGTGACCCAGCCTTTAGGAGACATCAGTGCTCTTTAATTTGCAATGTGGTTATGTACAGAACAGGAGAAAGTTAGGGAAAATGAGCATAATAGCTTTATGAGCCTTTTATGCCTGAGGAGATTGCGTGCATATGTATGCTGGTGTCAGATGTACTGGATTCAAGTACATCACTGCATTTTTCAGACAACTGTTTTGTCTCTGTATCAGGAACTTTACTCTAAATGAAGATTTTGCCAATCTTAGCTGTTCGCTTTATTGGTAGATCTAATTTAGGAGTGCTGGTAGGTCAGACTGAGACTCTTGACTGGAAGATGCTGCAGAACTGCAAAATGATCTGCCAAGTTATGCCACTGGCTTTCTGAATATCTTTTGTGATATTTTCTTTGATCTTCTTTAGATGCTGGCGATCTCTGCTGCGGAAGCTTTCAGGAAAATAATCTTTTGGCCTCATACTCATTTCGAGAGGATTCGTTGTACAACCCGTGCTGTCACCATGCAGCTTGCCTTACTTTTACACTGCCAGTTAGAATGACTGAGGTTGGCCAGTTTGATGATGCTGATGAATGAGGTCAGAAGTAAGTTTGGTTTCTGAGTTGGGTTGTTCTTCACTGACTGAGTTGCAGGTGCTGTAAGCTGCTAGTGCACTTCTGGACTATTTTCTGTTTGTGTTACATAGATCTGTGTTGCTAAGTCATTGTTTGGGAGGAAGTATATAATTTCTAATCTTACCTTGATTGCAAAGTGTTGCCAATTTTGGCATGCCTGGTACTTGCATGTCTGGACACTGAACCTGTAATTTTATTTCGTTTGTTATGGAATTGGTCTTAAAAACTCTTCCAACTTCTCTGTTGTACTTCTGTGTTGCAGTTTGTGACCACATCAGTCATGACAAATTAGATGTGACATTACAAAATGATTCTTTTGGTTTGATATGTTTCAATACAAAGGAATTTGCAAAATGTCTGTGATGTATGTAATGCACCTGTAGGCATATATTTGGGATTTTCTTTCCTACAGAAATGTTGGGTGTTTGTCAGCCTCCCAGGAAAGGTTTCTGCACATCAGACCTTGTACTCAGGTGTACTGTATTGTCCTCTAGTCTCGCAGTAGTCTGATGTTGCGTGAGGATGTTTTAAAGACATGTAATGACAAAGAAAATAAGCTTATGTGATCTCAGTGTGTCCTGCAAACAGTAGTGAATTGATATTGCTGCTACTTTGTTATTTCTGTGTTGACAAATGAGGAAGTGGGAACACAAAATACTTCCATAAAGTTTCCAAGAGAATAGCTGGAACTGAAACTATATTCTTTTTGCCTGTGCTTTGGAATTAAAGGAAATGTTCTCAAATGAAGAATGGAAGTGGATTGAATGACTGACTACTTACAAAAACAATTTCTTGTTGCTCATATTTCTTTAATCACTTCTCAAGAACGTTTTGATGACTTTTTTGCCACTGCCCCATACTGAAGCACGGTACCTTGTTTATTCTCAGGCAAGGAGTTAACGCAGTTGGAAGACTTTGTTTAAACTATCCATTGTATGAGACTAACTTATGTATTAGCATGGGAGGAGGAAATGAGTGAGAGTAACTTTTGTTTAATCTTTTCTTTGAGAGCAGAGGAAAACAAGAGCTCAGGTGAGTCTTTTTTTCTGGTACATGGGAGTCCCCAGTTAAATCTGAGTATGTAGCAAAGAACCAAAGTAAAGAGCAGAAGCTGGCTGGTGATTCTGTAGCTTAATTCCAGTATGATGGAGTCCTCCAGGTGGTCCTATTTCTGTCAAGACTTAATTCAGCATGCCTCCAGAACACATACATACACAGAAGACACAGTCTGACAGTTTGCTCTTCCCTTGAACAGAAGGAAAGCCCTAGCTGTGCTATGGCATTGGTGGTATTTTTCTTTTGTGTGCTGCAGTGTGATCAGCTTGTCTTTGAGAGGAGTTCTGCGTTAGCTAGAACAAATGCTTGCCTCTGTGGAACAGGAGTGAGACTTGCCTACGTTTGGATACGTAGTGATTTTTTTCTAACCTAGACAAGAAGAATAAAACTCTAAGTGTGGCCGCGACTCATTCAATTCAATATTAATAAATATGAATCAAGCACAGATTAGTAAGGTAAGAATATACCAGTGAATTGTAAAAGTTTATTTTGTTACCTTTTTGATCAGTTTCCCAGGCCTCAGCTGTAGATGTTAATGCTACCCTGCAGAGGGCAGCAAGAAACGATTTTTTCTGTTCGGAGTTTTTATCTGGTATGAAGTTTCACCAGCGAGTGTCAGGTCCTTAGGCTGGATGTCTAAGTCCCGTTATCCCACCGTGAGACCGATTAATGGCCCTAATTAGCTTCTCATTTTCTGTTTTGCTCTGAAGTTATACTTAGTAGATGAAAAATTTCTCCCATGGCTGAGAAAACAACATCGCTTGACTGGCTTTGTATTTGCTATACTTGTGAATCCCATCAGAATTAATCAAGATGAGGCCAACAGAATTCTGTGGAAGCAAAGCATCCTTCCTCAGAGCTGGCTTAAAAGGATAACCAAGAAGTTGTTATTAACATAGATTAGGTTGGTTTTAATTCCTATATGATTTACCTTTAATTGGAATCAGCCTCATCTTTCTGGACTGTCATTATTTGAGAAGAAATTAGTTGTCCTGAATGGCTGCCCTGCTAAGCTGTATTTTAAATGATTGTAAACTTGAAAGGAAAACTGAAAACAGATCTTTTAGGTTAAAACTGACATCACTTCTATCAGCCTTGCAAAAACTGACATTTGGGTTGTACAGCAGAGGAGCACTGTACTCTCTAGGGATATGTTGACAAACCTAGTTTTATTCATCTTGGCGATGCTTGTTAGGGAAGGGGCTGAATGTAAGGTTTGATCTGAACACTGTCAGACTTCAGTGGGATTAGAAAACCAGATGCAGACTTCTCGGAAAGCATCTCCTTGGAAGGACTGAAACCAAGCTCATGGATTCCAGTGTTTCTGCACTGCAGTGTTTCAGCTGCCGTTGTGCATCTTGCACTGAGTCTGTTCTGTGTTGACACAAGCATGTTGTGCTATACAAGAATTAAATTAAAACCAGCGTAAAATGAACCAACAGTTCAAACTAACAGCATTGACCCTTCAGTCTGCTCATGCTATTTGAAGTAAAAACATTCCATTGCAGGGCATACAAGGAACATATTGCCAGTACGTAGATCTATTTGAAAATTACTTGAAAATCAGATGTCAAAGATTTCTCAGTTGAATGTGCATATATTTTTAAGTAACTTTTAGGGATAATGGTGGTAGACTGGAACTTTGCACAGTACTTTAGCTGAAGTAATTCCTAGCCTGGATGGGCAGCCACTGAAAGCCAGTGCAGTTGGAAGCCAGTTCATATTGAGGCATTTGGCATGACTTAATACTGAACTGGTGGTGCCTCAGGGTGAATTCTTTGCAACAAGTCAGGGACTGAACTCCAGAAATCTTTTTTTCTTATTCTTTTTTGTCAGAAGAGAAGCATGCTAAGTTTTTTGGTCCAGATATCACATACCACTAAAAGGATAACATCAGAAGACTTGAGAACCATATGTGTTCCAAAATGGCACCTTTCGTGAAGGCAGAAGGGTAACAAGGAATGCCTGGAGTTTATGCTCTGCAGACCTGTTACTTTGTTCTGCTTACAGCCAGAGAATTTTCTATGGTTCCAGTTGCTGTATTTGTTGCATCTTACTAAATTGTGCTGGGCCTCATATAAAAAGCTATCTGATTTTTTGCATTGCAGTGTAGAACGTGTTTTAAAACTTGCCTAGGGAAAGGGAGGAGGGTGTAGGGATGAAACTAATATAGCTTCTATTTTAAACTTGTAATGGCTACTTGTCATAGGGATCCCTTTGGTCATGTGGCCTAAACCTCAGTCCTTCAGGATACAGCCAAGCAGTTCTTGTGGCAAAACAAAATCTTCCTTGATAGCTTTGTAGATCTTACAAGCTTCACATGCAAATTAAAGCTATAAATACAGAATTAAAAATATAAATGTGAAAATGCGATGCAAAGTAGTACCTGGAGTGCCCCCCAGCTTGAAGAAACTCAGTGGATGGGGAGAATAGCCTGGTGCTGGATTTCAAACCGTAGCCAATGAATCAGTCGTACAGGGTTTGGGTCCTTAAGGAAGCGGATGTGAGCGTTTATCCCAGGTGCAACTTTCTGCTGGGCTGGAGAAGGGAGACAGTGAGATGATGGTTGATTCTCGGAGGTGTTTTTGTACTCTGCTACTTCCAAAGACGAGTCAATAAATCAGGGAAGCATTGTGCTAGTAGAGAAGAACATATAAATGAAGATTGCAGGTTTCAATTGCAGTTAGCTCATTATGTCACAGTCTGAAGCTGGACAAACAGTAATCTGAAATGAATGCACAGTGGTGGAGCCTGTGAATACTGCAGTGCTAATTCAGAAGTTATTGCTGCTGTCTGGTGTGGTGTCAGTACTGGATTTGTTAGTACAGTAATTCCCTTTGCCCTCAATGCTGTGTTTAACAGTATGATGTGTTCTGTATTCTTCTAACAGGCTGCTTCCCTGGTCTGAATCACTTTTTACCTTCTAGTTTGGTTAGTTCTTGACTGCAGGTATTAAAACATTCAAGATCTGACAGATTTGTTATTAACAGGACTCTCTATCATGTTTAAGATTTGTTGTTACTGAGAGATTTCAGGATTTTTGAAATTGATGTTTATTTTCAAGCTTTTTGCAGAGTGCTTTATTTATGGGAGGAAACGCAGTTTATTTTTCAGTGATGGAGCATGTCTCCATGCCTGAATGCTTAATCCAGCTCACTAATAATAAACAGCATGTTTCTTATTGCTCAGCAGCCTTATCTTCTACAGTGAATTTGAGAAAGTCTTTTGCAGGTGTTCTGATGAAGATATTCTGCTGTGGCTCATTGCTGGTTTTATTCACTAATATTCTGCCCATGCAGCAAATAGTTTTAAGGTAATGGGGATATTGAACCGGATTTGGAAGACAAAATATTTCAAGTACTCGTAGCAGTATTTGAGTTAGTCACTGCAGAACGCTGCCTGTAAAATAAATAACTGTGAACGCTCTTTTTAAGAAGAAAAAAGTTGTCAAGGGCAATAATAGCAGAAGTTAAAACCACTTGGCGAATTTTCTTTGTCAAGGCTGATGTGAAAATGATGTTTGAAAGGTAGCTGTTGAAGGGTGCTTTAGAGGCCGCTGCCAGTAAGCATGAATAGCTTCATGTACTGAAAAGCCTGGATCTGCTGGAAAAATGCCTTGAATGCTGGTCTGTGATTTACCAAATTTACTATCTATTAAAATTTACAGTGAAATGTATGTTGCTATGGTTACCAAAGCTTCTCTAGTTCCAGAATGGCAGTGCATCTCATTTCAAAAAAGAATATTTGTTTTTCCTCTCCTTTCACTGTAATCAAATAGAACTTTAAAAAATGGTTTTAATTCGCATGACTTGGTAGAACTTCGTTGCCACGAGGAATCTGAAAAGCCAGAAATACAGCTGTTCCCAAGACATATGCTTGTGTTTTACAACACTTGTGAATTAAATCTCAGTCGATCTAACAGATCTATGCTGTGGGGCAGAGTTGACCAACAGTTGGCTGGGAAGAAACGTACAACTCGTGCAGCCCACCCTGTGTGTGTTAACTTTGAACTGTAACTACTGTGAGTCTTTGTGTGTTACTAAGAGTATGCATGTTTGTGTTTATTGGCCAGTTGGCTTATGTGCCCTTGTACTTGTTGTCTAGCAAGTGAAAAAGTTGAGAAGGAATGACTGTTATGGTGCAGAAATGCCATTATTATTCTGCTGGGCCTTGTTTCCTCTGCAGCTACAGGTACTGCCACAGTATTGTGATGGCCAGTTGCTGCAGAATGTTCACGAATTGTTGGAAAACAAAACCTGTTATTTTTAACGTGAAGGAGTGGACATAAGCCTGCTGGTGAGATCCTGTTTGACAATTCCTGTGCAGCTTTCCTTCTCGAGCTCAACAAACAACAATATTAGCAAGGTTATAAAAACAGAACCACGTGAAGCAGAGGAAATAAAACCAAAGCCTTTTCCTCTGTCATCTGGCTTCCAGGAGCAGTGCCTCTGCCCAGCAAAGGCCAGAGATCGAGTGCTTCTGACACAGCTTGCTTCTGACAGGGATTGTTCCATTTATATTGAGAACAGAAGTGTGCACTTAGGTGTTTCCTGACATGTCCTCTGAGGTTATTATGCAAACTGGGCCATACCTTTTCTGACTTTTTCATTTGTGTTCGTATAATAAGAATTGAAGGGGAAAATGTTTGCTGAATTAAGTTTATATGCTTTACAGCTGCAAAGCTTTCTCCTTCAAGAAAACTATGTCAGGATACGTGATAGCTTTCAGTCAGTTGTGAGCGTGCATATCTGGCCAAGCCATGGCGTTCCTGGGGATTCGATTCCCCACTCCCTTCCTTGCAGCCCTGCCTGTCTGGGTTTGGCTGGTGCAGCTGGGAAGGCATGCTGTGATTCCTTTCTGCCAGCTGCAAGCACGCAGGAGGAGGATGTGGGACCCCAACGTTCTGCCTGTGGCACTGATCTGTGCAGGCTCCCATCCTTCTTGTGAGAGAGTTCTTGAAAGCTTCCTTAAGTGAAAATGAAAAACAGCCAGTGAAGTCATGTCAACTGCGAGTTCCGTTACAGGTTGGATGCATACATAAAACCTATTATTTCTTCTATAAAACTGTTTATTCTAGATGAAATATAGATGTAGTTGCTGTACTGACTTTCCTGAGGG